CGAATTCCGCCAGAGCTCGCCGGATTTGGCCGTCGTAGCTGCTCGCGGGAGGGAGAGGGAGAGACGAGTGGGAGAGAGAGAGAGAGAGGGGTGGGGCGGAGAGAGAGGGGAGGAGAGAGAGGGGATAGAGATAGAGGAGGTGGGGGCAATGGGTTTTTTTTACCCGCAAAAAAAAGATAGCCCCCCTCTTTGCCGTCTGCCAGCAGACGGCAAATAGGGGGGGTGGGTGGACCATTGCAGTGTACTGGCATCCGGTGGCACCTCTTTGCCGTCCGCTGGCAGATGGTAAAGATTCTTTGCCATCAGCCAACAGGCGGCAAAGAAATGACAGATGGCAAAGACCTTCTTTGTCGTATGCCAATTCTTCGCCGTCTGTTGTTTGGTAGCTGATGGCAAAGACCTTCTTTGCCATGTGCAAGCAGACGACAAAGAACTGGAAGACGGCAAAATCCCTGATTCCAGTAGTGATAGGTAGGTATGGTGGACTCTCATGGCAAAACTGGGTTTCAGGATATTTTGGAAGCACAAGTAGTATCTCTACTTGGTGCAAAGAATTTGGCTAGAATGAGGGGGAAAGGGAAAGCTCCACATGTTGGATGATCCATGACAATATACTTTATTTCGGATATAAGAAAACATAACCCATTACGTTGTCTTCCTTGTCCAACGTCAACACTTTAGCATGTCATATTTTAATGAGTGCTCACAATCATTAAAGATGTCCAAGATAGTATATTTATATGTGAGAACCTCTCTTTCTTTATTACTTCCTATTAATTGCAACGATGGCCAAAACTATGTTTGTCAACTCTCAACAACTTTTATTCAACATACTCTTTATATGTGAAGTCATTACTCTCCATAAGACCAATATGATCTCTTTTATTTCTTTTTATTCTTTCCTTTTCTTTTATTCCCTCAAGATCATAGCAAGATAGCAAAGCCCTTGACTCAAGACTAATCTTTATTATATATAGCTCACGGACTCAATTACATAGAGGGATCATAAAGCAAAACTCAAAATAGATCATTCTAAAGCTTTATTCTACTACAACAAGATATTACCAAAAGGATCAAACTAAGAAAAACGATAAAGATAGGAGTGTGATGGTGATACGATACCGGGGCAACTCCCCCAAGCTTGGCAGTTGCCAAGGGGAGTGCCCATACCCATGTGATTATGTCTCTTTCTTCGGAGGTGATGATGATGGAGTTGTTGATGATGTAGGCTTCTTCCTTAATTTGCGCTTGAGGATGGAATTTTGCTCCCTTAGATCATTGATCTCCTGCTCAAGGCTTAATATCCTTTTGCATAGTTCCTATTTGTTCTCATGCAAGAGGCCAAAAGGGATAAACTCGATCTTAGGTTTCTTTGCTCTATCAGGGAGGCTTGACTTTTTAAACTCCACATGCATGTCTCCGGTTGAGGTAATGGGACTTCATCTTCATTTGAGCTCGCCTCCTCCTTTCCCTTAGGACGTAGTCTTCTTCTTACTAAGTGGTCCAACCATAATGCTCCAAGTCCCCATAGACCTTAGGGTCTGCAAGGTAATCAGCCACATAGCTTTCTCCCTCCGAATCTTGGGACGACATATTGCTCTAATCTGCGGCAGAAACAACTCAAAACAAAAACAGAGTATTTCGTCATGGTACGGTGGTCAAAACCTTCAGGAGATTATATAATGAATTTTTACCGACCACACGAAGTATCGTGCAAGAAAACGGAGTCCGGAGAGCACACGAGGTGCCCACGAGGCAGGGGGGCGCGCCCAGGGGGGTAGGGCGCGCCCTCCACCATCGTGGACGCCTTGTGTCCTTCCCGGACTACTTATTATTTTCCTATGTTCTTAAATATTCCAAAATAGAGAGAAATTGCCATTAGAACTATTTTGGAGTCGGTTTACTTACCGTACCATATACCTATTCCTTTTCGGAGTCTGGAACGTTCTGGAAAGTGTCCCTTATGTATTCCTCCGGGGTTACGGTTTCAATTACATTGGTTTCAACATTTATGTGATTACCTGAGATATAATGTTTGTTTTTTTGACCGTTCACCACCTTTGGATTTGCGCCTTCGAAGTTGTTGATTTTTATGGCACCGGAACGATAGACCTCCTCGATTACGTAAGGACCTTCCCATTTAGAGAGGAGTTTTCCTGCAAAAAATCTTAAATGAGAGTTGAAAAGCAACACATAATCACCTACATTAAACTCACGCTTTTGTATCCTTTTGTCATGCCATCTTTTAATTTTTTCTTTAAACAGTTTGGCATTCTCATAGGCTTGAGTTCTTCATTCATCAAGTGAGCTAATGTCAGATAACCTCTTCTCACCGGCAAGTTTAAAATCATAATTGAGCTCTTTAATGGCCCAGTATGCCTTATGTTCTAGTTCGAGAGGTAAGTGACATGCTTTTCCATAAACCATTTTATATGGAGACATACCCATAGGATTTTTATATGCTGTTCTATAAGCCCATAATGCATCATCAAGTTTCTTGGACCAATTCTTTCTAGATCTATTGACAGTCTTTTGCAAAATCAATTTAAGCTCTCTGTTACTCAGTTCTACTTGGCCACTAGACTGTGGGTGATATGGAGATGCAATTCTATAATTAATATCATACTTAGCAAGCATTTTACGAAAAGCACCATGAATAAAATGTGAACCACCATCAGTCATTAGGTATCTAGGGACTCCAAACCTCGGAAAAATAACTTCTTTTAGCATCTTAATAGAGGTGTTATGATTAGCACTACTAGTTGGAATAGCTTCTACCCACTTAGTAACGTAATCAACATCAACTAAAATATGTGTATACCCATTAGAGGAAGGAAACGGTCCCTTATAGTCAAAGCCCCAAACATCAAATGGTTCAATAACAAGTGAATAATTCATAGGCATTTATTGATGTCTACTAATATTACCAATTCTTTGACATTCATCGCAAGACAAGACAAACTTACGGGTGAAGAGAGTAGGCCAATAAAAACCAGATTGCAATACCTTATGCGCAGTTCTATCTCCAGCGTGGTGTCCTCGATAAGCCTCGGAGTGACACTTGCTTAGGATCTGTTCCTGTTCATGCTCAGGTACACAACATCTAATAGCACCATCTACTCCTTCTTTATAAAGGTGTGGGTCATCCCATAAGTAATGTCTTAAATCATAGAAAAACTTTTTCTTTTGCTGGTATGTGAAACTAGGTGGTATAAATTTAGCAACAATGTAATTAGCATAATCAGGATACCATGGAGCAGTACGAGAAGCATTTATGACAACTAATTGTTCGTCAGGAAAGCTATCATCAATAGGTAGTGGGTCATCAAGAACATTCTCTAACCTAGACAAGTTGTCTGCAATGGGGTTCTCAGCTCCCTTTCTATCAATAATATGCAAATCAAATTCTTGTAGTAGGAGAACCCATCTAATAAGTCTAGGTTTAGCATCTTTCTTTTCCATAAGATATTTAATAGCAGCATGATCAGTGTGAACAGTTACTTTAGAGTCAACAATATAAGGTCTAAACTTATCACAAGCAAATACAACTGCTAAAAATTCTTTTTCAGTAGTAGCATAATTTCTCTCGGCACTGTCTAGAGTTTTACTAGCATATTTAATAACATTTAGTTTCTTATCAACTCTTTTTCCTAGAATAGCACCTACGGCATAATCACTAGCATCGCACATAATTTCAAAGGGTAAATTCCAATCAGGTGGCTGAACAATAGGTGCAGAAATCAAAGCTTTCTTAAGTAATTCAAATGCTTCTACACAATCATCATTGAAGACAAAAGGAACATCTTTTTGTAAGAGATTAGTCAGAGGCCTGGAGATTTTAGACAAGTCCTTAATGAACCTCCTATAAAAACCGGCATGACCAAGGAAACTTCTTATACCTTTAATGTCTTTGAGACATGGCATCTTTTCAATAGCATCAACTTTAGCTTTATCAACTTCAATACCTTTTTCAGAAATCTTATGCCCCAAGACAATACCTTCATTGACCATAAAGTGGCACTTTTCCCAATTCAAGATAAGATTAGTTTCTTCACATCTCTGCAAAACCTGATCAAGGTTGCTCAAGCAATCATCAAAAGAAGATCCATAAACGGAGAAATCATCCATGAAAACCTCAACAATCTTTTCACGAAAGTCAGAGAATATAGCCATCATGCATATTTGAAAGGTAGCATGTGCATTACATAAACCAAAGGCATACGTCTATAAGAAAAAGTACCGAAAGGGCAAGTAAAAGTGGTATCTTCTTGATCCTCTTTTGACACAGGTATTTGAGAGAAACCAGAGTAACCATCTAAAAAGCAAAAATGTGTATGTTTCGATAATCTTTCTAGCATTTGATCAATAAAGGTAAATGGTAATGATCTTTTCTAGTAGCTTTATTTAATTTGCGGAAATCAATTACCATCCTATAACCTATAACAATTCTTTGTGGGATCAATTCATCTTTATCATTAGGAACAACAGTAATACCTCCCTTCTTAGGGACACAATGGACAGGACTTACCCACTGACTATCAGCAACGGGATAAATTATACCTGCCTCCAGAAGCTTTAGTATTTCTTTTCTTACCACTTCTTTCATCTCAGGATTTAATCACCGTTGGTGATCAACAACTGGTTTGGCGTCTTTCTCCAATTTTATTTTGTGTTGGCATAGAG